TTCGAATGCCTACATTAGCCTCCCTAGTTCGAACTAGGGGGCTAGTATAGACATACCCTAAGTTATTTCGGAATAGCACTAGTTATTTCAAAATATAGTGTTGCAGTGTAGACTTACCCTAAGTCAACAATATTCTCAACCAATCACAAGAGCACATTGAGGTTAGTGAGCCATGAGCATCCTGGTTTAAAGGTACTAGTAAATACCTGCATTTATATTGTTTAGCCAGTAGCATCTGTGCTACTTCTCTCTGATTTTCAGATACTTTTGATTTTGAATTTCACATTTTTTCTCCATTCTGCAATATAGTCCCTGGCAGCATTCTCTTATCCAGACGATGCCTATGACACTTCTGTAAATGTTCAAAATATTACTGCCTTTGAGTTTCACATCAAACAAAATGGAGTACAGATAATTATAACAGGACAGTATCTGCTCACCTTACTCTCAAACAGTTCCATGAACCAAAACCTGTCTCTCCATTTACACATTGAGCCCATATGGTCCAATGTCCCACTTCACATTCAAGTGAAAGCTTAATTCCATGTTATCTGTAATCAATAATTGTAGATACACTTAAATGCCCTTAGAATAATGTATTTCAGCACTTAACACGAGCAAAACTAATACTCAAAAAGGGCAACATGGAAAAGTATTTATTTCTAGGAGCTGAACAGATGCAGAGGAACTGTGTAACCCTACCAAACTCCTTTAATGATGCCTGATCAATCTAAGATAAACTTTGTTACTCAAAATTCCCTTCTTGCCAGTACTTAGACTTTAGAGAATGTTGATCAAATACACTCTTACTAACTAAATGGTCAGAGATCTATTAACAAAGACTAAGCTGGTGAGGAGTGAAAACATTTTACTGACTGTATTACATTAATTTAATTCCTATATTAGGTTCATTCCATGGGGGACTGAAGAGCCTAAGAAGTGACAAAAATATTGTGTTAAAGGCCACATGACATATAAATGGAATATGTAACAATGAGCCAGCTTGTCCTGACACCACAACACCCAAGGGCACACTCTAGATTAGAACTGACACGCCTCCTTTAGCTCCTATGCCTCCTTTATAGACAACAAGAACCATCTATGGCTCATGTGAGCACTTTTGACCAGTTATCTCAAACTATTATCTCTTCCTCCTAAGAGTTCAGCCTCTAGTCACTGGCCCATATTAGACATGCTGTGGAACTGAATTGTCCCAAAGGAGTTCCCAAGCATGAAAATGGAGACCACTCAGTGACCCACCCCTAAAATCAATGCACCATACTCCCCTGTTGCCTAGAGTTGGTTCTGTAGGCCAGTGGGAAATACAGAGTAACCTTATATTATTGCAGCCTTTCTACGTAGCCAGTCTTCACTCTACCCTATTGAGACACCATGAAACGCCCTCCCCCAAACCTTTAACAGTCAAATTAGTCTAATTTGAAACCACAAACACTAAAATACTGTAGTCACAGGTGCCTTAATTGTATTTTTTAAACCTACACATTTGGGTTTCTTGCTTTTAATGATTTTTACACTTACATTACTGACACCCTCAACCTTACCTCCCTATTAACATAGTCGTGTGTCTTGGAATTACTACTAGTCATTAGTAATTATTATGATAGTTTATAGACATTAACAACAAGAAGTCCTGTGGCATCTTATAGACTAACAGATATATTGGAGCATAAGCTTTCGTGGGCAAAGACCCACTTCTCGTTGTTTATGCAGATTCAGACTAACATGGCTACCCCTCTGATATTTTATAGACATTATAAATCATAGCTAGCCCCTTATTATCAGATGCCAGAACTTTCAACATACAGCCACTCTTCTGGCTATTCACTGTGTCCCAAAAGCTCTGAAATTATTAGAAGTCTGATTCCATACCCCACCAAAATAAGTTCTGTTTTAACTGTTAGGCTGCTTTCTTTTCTAGACTGATCAAGTATAGTATGAGTGACAGGTTAACTTTTTGTGGCCTAACCACCCCTCCCCCTTCCAAATTCATGTTGGCTGAAAAATTTCATGAATCTATGCCACTTCTGGTTAATTGTTTCATTAAAAAAATGGGAAAAGTGTTTAAATAGTACATTGTTATATTTTCAAAACTGAACATTTCAAATTTTTGACCTAGATTTACATGGGGACTTAGCTCCTATTCATCAAAATGAGGAGTTGCTACTGCCAAACACCCCATACCCCCAATATATAACAGCTTAGTGATGTGAACACTCAGCTGAGATCAGAAACCCAGGTTCAAATTCTTTGGACAGTGCTTTGTTGAACAGCTATTCAACAATAAGCTGTTTTCCACACTATACCTGTATGGCTGGAGTGAGTGTTTTTACGCATCTAAAGTGAAGCTTAAATTTTGAAAGACTGAGTTAATAATGGGATCTGGCAGGGTTTTACTGTTAAGAAGATCTACTTTTTAAAATATTCTCTCTAATTACATGCTCGAAATGGTTCCTGTGGAGCTGATCTGCAGAGCTTCCGCTTTGATGTTGAAAAGAACTCTGAATTGGTGTCCTTCTTCATGTATATTTTCCAATTATATTTTGATCAACAATTCTTCCCTCATTTTAGTATTGAAGTCCCATGTAATCAGCAGCACATTGGTCTTTGGCACAATATCAATGAGCTCCTACAGTTGGCTATAGAACTCTAAATTTCCGCATGTTGGCTGCTATGGTTACTGCATATGCTTGAATAAGTCAGATTTACTACAGCGACTAATAGGTAGACTGAAATAAGCCTGGCATTGACTGGACTGTCTCATTAGAAATGCAAATGCATCTTTACTCAAAATAATGCCATGCTTTACTTTTGGTTTAGCAGCATACATCACTAAATGTCCCTTCGGGAGGATGAAGTGGCAGCTGTCGTTCTGTATTGGTCTTTGCATGGTGGAGTTCATGAAGTAGAAAAGCCCAGGTGCCCTGTTTAATGACAATCTTTTCTTGATCTCCTGAGCTTTTCTCAGGACTTTGTTTTGCTTGCTTATTTCTTGACTATTCAAACAGTTGAGTCCACTTCCAGTGACGTATATTTTTAAAGTGCATGTGCACATACACTCTTTGTTATAAATGGAATTTCATTATAAATGATTTTTATGTTGTAATAATTGGGCCTACAAATTTACCATAATTGCAAGCTCAAATGTAAAAAGGGAGTGTAAATTCACAAGATGACAGAACAACAAAAATTATTCCTGCAAAAGATGCGAGAGAGAGAGATAGACCAAATGAATCCAAACAAAGACACACTGATAAAACTTCAGGGATTGTGGAGAGACCAGGTTTGGTAAGCAAAAGAGTGTGGAACCAGAAATCCACAAACTGCATTTTGGAAACTAGGACAATTAGTAAATAAAGTAATGAGAGGGCAGACTATTCTGCTCCCAATGCTCCCTTTGATTATTCTTAAAAAGAAGAGAAGCTAAGGAAGAATGAGCAGAAGTAGCAACTATGTGACAGTAATGGGTGTAGTGAGCTTTACCATCCTGATTACTACCCCAACGGTCTCCTAGGATACCAGACATCCAACTCTTGAGAAAAATACTAACTAATCTGGACCCAGACACAAATGATACCACCACTGCTACTTCTTCCAGATCCAGCAAAACCCAAATACTACCTGAAATGTAAGAATTCACCTACCTTCTATCCCCAGTGTCTCTTCTTCCTTCCTCTACCTCATTTTTTCTTTCCTAGTGTAACTCATACACCTACTGAGTGTGATGCATTGTGCCATCTAATGGCACTTAGACCACTTGCAGAGAGAAAAAATGAGTTTCCTGTATAGCCTTAGCTGAGCGCTTCTAGATCAAGCATTAAACTCCTGAGGTTCCCTGGTTTGGTTCCACCTGTCAACATTACAAATGGGGGCTCATCTGAGATTTCACTTGGGATATCTCTGTAGCTTGGGATGTGCTTTTTCAGCCAGGGGATGTATGTAACCCACACACCTACTGGGTGTGGTTCACTTTCTCATCTAGTGGCACTTAGACCCCACTTACAGAGAGAAAGAATTAGTTTCCTCTACAGCCTTACCTGACAGCCAGATTACTTTTAGCTCTAGCAGGAGAGATGCATACATTGAGGTCAGAGGTTTGGTTTTGCCTGTTGGATTTACATTAGCTCTCTCCTTTTGCCTCTTCTTTAATAAAAGTCAGGCTTAGCCAGCCCATACTGCATATTTTACCACACTATTGTGAGCCTGTGACTGGATAGGCAACTGCAAGCAATGCTCTAACTAGCCCAATGCTATTACAGGTTGCACCTGCCAAAACCAGCAATTTCTGTTCTGGCAACATCCATAGTCTGGAATGACCATGGATGATCCTGGATCAGAGAGCTTGGGAGCCTAGTGGCAGGAGGACAATCTGAAAGCAGGGCCAGGCAGAAGCAGCAGGATGGGGGACAGGGACTGGCAGCAACCCTGAGCAGCCTGCAGTAGTAGGGATGTAGCCCACAGCAGCCTGCGGTGTCAGAGACAGAAGAATTTAAATAAGGTTAGTCCCCACAGCCTGCCTCTTCTGCCATAATCCCTCCCCATTTCACCTCTCTTTGCCCACAGAGTCCTGAGTCCCAGCACCTATTTGGCAGCTGGAGGAGTCCTGGTCCAGGCCCAAGAGGTCCCAGGCCACCCTGACCACCAGCCAGAAGAAGCAGCCAACCAACCAATCCCCAGCCTGAGCTGAGCTTCCACCAGGTTCAGGGGGAGAAAGAGCCAGGGTGGGGACTTAGGCTAGGGCCAGAGACTTTGCTTCTACTGGCTTATGATACTCATCACTCATGACTCTAAATTATACTTGGGTCTATTCAAATAACCCAGAATCCAAGTACCAGAAGAATCCAAAACTGTGCAAATCTGGATCTGTATTTTGTGGCAACAGTACCTTATTATTTAGCTCTATTCTTGTGAAGGTCCAATGGTGTCCCAACTGCTGAATAATGTTATTAATGTAGAGTCAAGATATGAAAGAAGAAACTTACTCGAATCATCATGACTGAACATCTGGTGTCACGAATTGTATCATAGATCTTCTTTGAGATGTCCTCAAACTGATTATCATCAAACTGATGCATTGTGTTCCCGCTTAAGTCCTCCAGTGCAAGAGTCACTTGAGCATCAAACTCCGGAATTACTGTAAAATTAAATTAAAATAAATAATAATAAATTAAGTAAAGAGGGAGCCTTTCATAGATTTTTCAAAAACTACTTTTAAAAAAAAAATCATCCAACAAACTGAAAGTTAAAATATGAAAACAATAAAATGGCTCTCAAGGGAAGCAATTTTTGTCATTTTTGGCCTTGGTGTTTGGGTGGGGACTGCGAGGAGAAGAGAAATAGATAGGGAGGGGAGAAAGAAGGTGATACTATGGAAACATAGGAAAGGAGAAGACAGAGGGTAATACCGCAATATCCATTTTTGCACAAAGCACTCATGATTTCTATTACTTCAACACTGTACACAGCTTACAGGAAATACTGGTCGTATATCTTAACATGAATTGTGCAGCAATATTAATACAGGGCCAGTGTTCCCTGTAAGCTGTGAACTTGTGTGGCCATTCAGGAGAGATTCAAATACTGCCTGAATAATTAGCAGAGCACCCACAGCTATGTTTTTTGTTTCTATTGGCAGTCCATATAAAAATATTTTGCACATGGATAGTAAAAATCCACACATTGATGGAAAAGATTAAAGGGAATGCTGTATATAACTAGAGCTCACTGAAGAGTGAAAGTTCCATCATCCTGGAAATTTGGCTATCTCTGTCTGTTTTCATCCCAAATTAGGGAGAAGTTAAAAATGTATTGGAAACAAATAATTTCCATTTTGTCAGGTTTGCTGAATCAAATAGAAACATTTTATTCTGGCTCAGTTTGACATTAATTTGTGTCCCCCTGAGCTGCCATGGTGCTTTACTGGAGTTGGAGTTCACTTGCTTCATACCCCCATTCTCTTCTATAGACAGGATTTCCCTGCCAGACTGTGTCTCCTATTGTGCACTCTGGTCACATGCTTGCATGATGTATTGTATCTGTTCAACCAGATGAGAGACTGTGAAGCATCATGAAGATGTTGTGCAGTAGAAAATCAAACTGCAAGTTCCATCAGGCAATGTGGCAGCTCAGGCAAACACTGATTAATATAAAAACTGTTCTAAAATGAAAAACATTTTAAATTAAGGGGGGCAAACTGGAAATATTTCTGTTCTAGTTACCCAGACTGAAATAATTCATTTTGATTTCCCCAATGAAAAAACTCGAAACATGTTGACACAACTGAATTTTTTCCAGAGAAAATTGAATTTTTTCAGAAACTTCTATTTTACATCAAACACACATTTCTGATGGATAATTCCTAAGCAACTCTAGATATAATCTAGGGAATAGGAGGTCTTAGAACTTTATGATCCTTCTTCATTCTGGCATGTGCGAGAAAAACACTTGTTTGGGTGGGTGGGTGGTTGGTTGGTTGGTTTTACTTTTTGTGAAAAATCAATGTCCAGCTGAAGTCCATCTGTGTTACTGAGTGTGTACAAATACCACTTGAGAAAAACATTACTTGTGTTTTAATTGATAAATAATATGTGGTATGTAAATCCTAAAGCATATAGCCGTTATATACCTTATTGATTGCTACTGTATATTACTCTGCCTCAGAAAGAACATCATGATCTCTCTCCAAACCCCGCATTTTTCATGGGGTTTTCAAAACATGTTAATAGCTATAAGACAGAACTTCAAATGTGCGCTTTAATTATAGCAGCCTTGCTGCTTTGTAGGTCAATTGTGCTCCCAGTGAAGATGATAGCTATTTCTGTGGGAATGCTTTTAAAACATTATTGTTATTTCATGCTGTACTTGAGTATTGATTCAAGGATAGTAAGGAAAGATGATACTTGACCCACTTGAACAGTGGAAACTCAGCTATTCACAGAAAAGACAGTCTTAATATTAATCAAATACATGAAAAATACCCTGTCAAATCAACTTTTCACCAGACTTTTATACAGACTTTTCATTCCAAGTAAAATCTTCACTTTCCCACTCTCCATCTTTCCCTGAAACTGACAGCAAGCTACAAAGGTGATTTTCATCAGTGATCAGATTTAATAGTTAGTAGCTGAAGTGCTCAGCTTTTATTTAACACAACCTCAAACTTATATTTTTAAATAGAGAATCTAAATGATTTGTCATAATTTAAGAAGAGAAATTGATAGTTTCAGTTAGACAAAATTAGAGAAAGCTGCTTTGGGCTAGGTAAATAAAATAATTGTAAGTAGAATCATTTTGAACTAAATAATCACTTGGTACATTAATTACTTGTAGTCCAATACTCAGCTCTGTCACTCAGAATAGAACAATCCAAGAGTAATGTAAAGGCTTCAGGGAGCTCCAGGCCTGTACTAGTGCAGTGGGAATTTCTAGAATGTTTTCAAGGACATGCCTGTGGCAGTATTCCCCTTAACCACTATATCTGTATCTCCTTCACTGCAGCACCATAAGTTATTTAATTCACCTTAACTCTGGTGCATGGCCAATGACTGAGAACTGCCTACAGTCCAGTTTCAGAAAGGACAGGCTGTCACGGACTACCTGTTCCTACCCTCCCTGCTTATTTGTCCTATCCCATTTCTAAACAATCTGTCCTCTCAATATCCCTGGTCAGTTTACCAACTTTTTGGGAGTGGGTAGAGAATATGATCCTGACTAGCTGACTGCCAAACTGATCTTCTGGAAAAACAGAGTTCCTCACAATCATGGAATGTGTACGGAAATTATATTCATTATAGTGATAGGTTGACTCCTGTCCTTAAAGAGATCATTTAACCAGGAAGGGAATTTTAAAACCAATGTACACTTTGTGCATATCATTTCTCACATAAGAAGGACTTGTATTCCCCCATCAACAGTGGAAGGGACAAAAATTGACTGTAACATTCCATTCCCTCAAGTTATCCTGGGAACCAATTCATAAAAACTCTCTTCCACCCTTTCTCAGAATTATCAACTTCCTTTCTCAACCCACAAGAGTATAAAGGAATCTGGTGCTTTAACTGGATATGTCTGTAGGCCAGAGAATGTTTAATAATAACTTGCCTGATCTGACTTTCTCCCTACCTGCACTGAAGGCCAGTTATAAAAGTGCCTCATTTGTCTCCAGGGGGTGACACACATTAATATCCCTGTTCTGTAATGGAATGATAATATTAATGTTTCTCAAAGCTAATTATATCTGACCTAAGTCATTTTAGGCTTGCACGCTTTCCCATTAAAAAAATTACAACAAAATTTGAGGGGAACACATTTATTGTAAGGTTCATCAATTGTCTCATTTTTCATTTCCACATTTCTACAGCAATAACTGGGATCAAGGTATCCGATTATTTGATACAGGTTATTATAAAACTGTCAAATAATACTATATTGTGCATGCATCATTTTAGAACCATTCTCTAACTACATTATTACCTCGGATGAATGATTAGAATCCTTTGGCCCTAACCCTATGCGTTTCCAAATAACTAACTCAAGTGATCAGGTTGAGACCTCTTAAACAGGAACATCCTAAGGATCCACATCTGGGAATGGAAAATACTGTCCTGCAGTGGTGTCTATTTGAAGAGTGAGTCTTCTGTGCTACTCATTCACCCACTGCTACCAATGACTTGCCCAGTATAACCAGAGAGGGAACTGAGTGGGGTCTCATGTTACTTCATATTGCCTTGACTTCTCTTCAGATTTCCTTTGACATACCCATTGGATTATTCAACAGCAGAAAGGTGCTTGCATCAAAACCATAACTTTGAAGACAACTGTAGATTATGAAACTTGCCGGAGGACAACTGCCAGCATGCATCCCACCTTCATTGATCCTAAGACAGAAAGCCGGGATCCCAGAATTTTCCGCATATAGGATAAATTCTCAATGGAATAAAGCGTTTTCTTAAATTTGGGTAAGCGTACTCAGGTTAAATTAAGTGTGACAATGTGACAACTTGTCTTACATCAGACAACAAGGAAGGGATGTGAGAGTGTCACTGTTTACACAGTTAACCAAAGAGCCTGAGCTCATAGTTAACATGCATGGTATTAGAGGCACAAGTGCGGGATGGGAGGACGTAAAAGCTGGTGCACAAGGGCAGCCATCTTCCTGCATGCACTGGCTCCCACCTGCCCCCTCCCACGCAAATAACCGTGTAACTGCTGACATGTTCCGCAGATACATGATTACATAATTAAACACATTTCAACATCCCTACTACAAGATGAATATGTAGAGCAGCCATGGCCAACCTGCCGCTCGTGAGCCACATGAGGCTCTTGCTCCCCAAAAGTGTAGCTCGCGAAGCTGCTCCTGCGCCCCTTCCAATGGCTCCTAACCCCCGCTGTTCTGTTCTGGGGGGCTTCTATTTTATTTATTTTTTGCTTGATAAGTCTGTTCTGGGGGGCTTTTTTTGACAATTCTGGTACAGCTCTTCACATTTTTTCCGCCACTGTTTTGGCTCTCTTTGTTAAATGGGTTGGCTACCCGATGCAGAGAATAATTCTGGAGCAGATTAGATAAAATAGACTGCCCCATATATTGACTTTTGGACCATAAGTGGGAAAAATAATGAACATGATAAAAGGTACTTGGAGAATAAGGTTTCTGTATCAGTAATGAAATGCAAACTAATTTAAGAGATTACCATACCATACATGTTCCCCAGAGTCCTTACTTTTAAGGAGTAAGAGAGATAGAAGCAATATTATAGTAATTCAAGAAACCCTCTCTCTTCTAGAGATACAAAAATATCTTAAACCAAAGTCCAACTAATAAATCCTAGAATTATTTAAAATGGACACCTCAAAATCAAGTGGAGCAGGAGTTTCAATTCTTTAAAAGGATATAGACTCTCAGTTGATTTAAATATAGGTAGCTTTACTAAAGAAGCTGTTATTTTTTTATTCCCTGAAACACTAGTCTGGCTAAAAATGAGCTGATACTGAAATAAGTAAAATCATTGCACTTGATATAAATGTAAGAGGGTGGGTTGACAAAATTAATCTATGCTAGGCAAAGAATTACACATTTTGATATCAAACTAAATTATAATCAAAAGCATGTGACAAAAATACTGTATGAGTTAA